CTGCAGATTCCCGTTCACGCATAAAAGACACATTGATAGAGATCTTTCTTGTCTTGTTGCAATAATTCAAGTTTATCGTTTTCGCCTTTTCGGTGGCCAACAAAGTTAAAGTACTTAAATTATTGCACCGACGGGCGGTGCCAATAAGAGCAGTCGCCCATTTGCACTCTCTTGGGCACGCGTGTGCGGTTCTGTAGTGAAACGTGGAAATTATATTTAACAAAAATTACTTTTAAATCGGGAACAGGGAAATAATCGTAAACCTTCGTTTGTTTCTTTGTTTGTCTGTTTGTTTTTGGTTGTTGTAAACTTATATCATTAATTTTTTTTAATAATATTTTAAAATTTTCATTATTGTCTCTTTATTTTCCATTATTTACCTGGTATGAGTGTAAAATTAATATAATTTTTTTTTTATTTTTAGGCTTTCCAAACTCGTGTGATCATTAAATAAGGTATTTTTTTGTTATTTTTTTATTTTAAAATAATAAATATTTTTTATTTAAAATTTTTCTTAAAATAATAATAATTTTTTCATATTTTAGGTAATACAAATTTTTTCTCTACTTTAACGTCATCATTACCTCCTTTTATATATTAACAAATATACCCTTATTGGTGGTTTAAGAATCGTAAGGAAGCTTGCAGGAGTAACCAGGGTTAGCTACACAAACTATTTCGGGATTAATACAGATTTATGCAATGGAATTACTAACTGAGATGATGAGATGATGTAATGGGTTGGTACTCCTTTTCGGATTTATATGAGTAAGATTCTATTAGCATTTTTTTTTTTTTTGAACAAGAGCAATTTGAGAAGAGGAAAAGTCGTTTACGAAACTGGAACATATAACCCATGTGAGATGATCTCTACTTGATCAAGAGTGTCGATCACTAGGTTGACGTGTGGGGATTATAAAATTTTATTAGTTGATAAAAAAAATCTTTATTATTATCTTTTTACTTTAATTAAACATTGCATTGTAATTTAAATTTTATTTTTTTTATTTTTTTAAAAATAATATAATAAAAATAAAAATTATACTCAAATTCTTAATACGAAGATAAAATTTTTTATTATTTGTTGACAAATAGAATAAGTTTAACGT